TTACTGCTAACTAGGTAGTCACACGGTTTTGCATACAGAATATGACAATTTATGACCCCACCAGCAGCATCGGAATGTTTTGTTGTCACATATTCTCGCTACACTTAATATTGTCAGTTTTTATAAATGTCAGCCCTTACACTGACTGGGTAATGATACCCCACTGTGGCCTGAAGAATATGTTCAGGCAACAGTGATGCCGAGTACCTTTGTAATGCTTATTGGCCATTCCAATATTGTTATTTTAATTCTGTTTGTGAAGCAGGGTTGCTGTGCCTTGGTTACCTCTTGGTTCCATTGCATCTTGGGGTGCGATTTCTACTTATTGGATGTGACAGAACTTGGTCAGTCAGAAGTTACCTGTGTGGGTTTGTGCCTCACAGCCAGGCAGCAGAGGACAGCAGAGACCTAGGACTGATAAAGACCTGGTCCTACAGCCCAGGACAGCTGGAGGTGCAGTCTCAACTGGGCTGCCCCACAGGCGCCTGCAGCCAAGCGAGCAACCCTGCAGGCAGCCTCACCTGGGTCCTGTGCCCCGGGGCTGGGACAGTCACCAGGCGAGGGTGGCAGGAGGGGCTGGGCCACAGTGGGCTGCCCCGGGGCTGGCACAGTCACCAGGCGAGGGTGGCAGGAGGGGCTGAGCCACAGAGGGCTGTCCCGGGGCTGGGACAGTCACCAGGCGAGGGTGGCAGGAGGGGCTGGGCCACAGTGGGCTGTCCTGGCCGTCCTCTCCTAGGCCCTGCTTTCTTGGAGCGTCTGTGGTTATCCTCAAGAACACCAGGAGAACCGGGCTGGTCCAGGACCACGTGGAGCACTTTGCAGTGCACTGACCTCATCCAGGCACAGACAGTCGCTTCCCTTTTGCATGCAGCACGTTCCATCCACCCAAGCCCTCCTTTGTCTGTCAGCTGCCAGGCCGCTCTGTGCTCGTCCCGTAGGGTCTTAGGGTCGGGTACCAGACATCCAGGGACAGCCTTTCACCCCGTGGCCCACTGAACAGAAGGGCGAGGCTAGGTCAGCAGGCATGAGGCTGGCTGCTCTGGGAAAGTTCAGGGGGCCTCAGCTTGTCTACAGTGACCAGGGTGGCACGCCATCGAATGACACAGGTGGACGTCGTCAGCTTTCTACACAGTGCGCATTGTTGTGAGCTGCAGACCCCTGGGAGGAAGTCTCACACACAGTGCGTTTTCTAGGACGGCTGTTTACATAATTTTTTACATTTTCCAACTTAACAAGGATGGCTAAAATAATAGATATGTAATTACAATTTTTCTCTCCCTCTAAATAGCACCAAGCAAGACAAAAACATTTGAATGTTTAAGCAGATGACTACAATTACTATAATCTTTATTTTATCAACCTGCTAGGAAGTATTTAAATAGTAAATACCTTAGAGGATGTTCAGTCTTTAACAAAGGCAATAGCATTTAGTGGGTAATGTTGCTTCGTATCTCCCCCTCCTTTTTTTTTTTACTTCCAATCTTCCTCTGTTGAATTCGAACAGGAGTACCTATCATAGCAGATCTGAGTAGTTGGCTTGTGTGCGCTCTGAACACCCCTCTCTTTAAATGAGTGCGTTCAGAGCATTTTCCTTTAAGGTGATCCTAGCTGCAGAGGCCAAGTCTGCATTTTTGTTGTTTGTTTGCTGTTTGTTGCTTTTGTTTTTCATTGTTTTGTTTCTATTTCCTGCCTTCCTGTGGACGATTACGATGTTTTTATCCTAACGTAATTTATTTACAGTAGTGTAGATTGTGTTTCTTTGTAGCGTCTACAACTCATGAAAAGATGAATAATATGTTGTCAGTACCCTTACTTCTCTTTGGGGGTTTTTCTCCCGTTTTTATCTCTGGGAGTTTTTCTTTGATTTTTCCTTCCTGTGTGAGTATCTTTCTTCAGAAATTAAATCAGCAAATGAAAGAGTTATCTGTAGCCTCATGTTTATTGCAGTTCAATTCACAATAGCCAAGACATGGAATCAACCCAGATGTCCATCAACTGATGACTGGTTGAAGAAATTGTGGTATAGATATAGATATAGATATAGATAGATATAGATAGATAGTATGGAGCACTACTCAGCAATAAAAAGGAATGAAATCCTGTCGTTTGCAAAAAAAAAGACAACAAAAAGACAAATACCGTATGTTCTCCCTGATCTATGGTAACTAACAGAGCTCCAAAAACTGCAGTGTAGGGGGTGAAATTGGCATTCTGAGACTTGGAGATGCTCACAGCCCCTGCCTGCTGTTGAGGAGCGGTGCTTTTTTCTTACTCTTTGTTGAACTCTGCTTAGTGCGGGGCTGATCTTATGAGTACAAGGTAAACTGAAAGTAGATCACTGTAAAATTCACAGAGGGGATGGGGGGCAGGTGAGAAGTGTCACTGTGTTCCTAAATCTGTGCATATGAAACACATGAAATCTGTTTATTTATTTATTTATTTGACAGGCAGAGTGGACAGTGAGAGAGAGAGACAGAGAGAAAGGTCTTCCTTTGCCGTTGGTTCACCCTCCATTGGCCGCCGCGGCCGGCGCACTGTGCTGATCCGATGGCAGGAGCCAGGTGCTTCTCCTGGTCTCCCATGGAGTGCAGGCCCAAGCACTTGGGCCATCCTCCACTGCCTTCCCGGGCCACAGCAGAGAGCTGGCCTGGAAGAGGGGCAACTGGGACAGAATCTGGCGCCCCGACCGGGACTAGAACCCGGTGTGCCGGCGCCGCAAGGTGGAGGATTAGCCTAGTGAGCTGTGGCGCCGGCCAAAATCTGTTTTCTTTAAATTAAAAAGTTAAACGATCTTCCTCCAGCCAGGCTCGAGGCAGATCCAGTCAGATCCGCTCACGACAAGACTTCTCCGTGGTTGCTGAAGGAGCGCTTCCCTCGCCAGCCGTCGGACCTGTGGCTCACAGCCTCCCCTGCATCGTCTGGAAACCTGGCACTGGTCCTTCCTTCCGTTTCCATGGTTTCGTGTGGGAAATCCACTGTCATCCCAGCTGGTGTTCTCTTGTGGACAATAATTACTTCTCTCTGGCTGCTCTCATGTCTCGTCTTTGTCTGTGTCTTTCAGAAATTAATTATGCTGCATGTTGAAGTAGAGTGCTTCTGATTTACCCTGCTTGGGGTTCGCTCCGATATTTAAATGTGTCAGGTTTGTGTCATTTGCCAGATTTGTGCAGTTTTAGGTCCTTGTTCCTTTATCGGGGGTGGGGAGCCTTCCTCCTGCCGAGGGCCGCATGGGTGTTTATAATGTCATTCACCGGCCACACAAAATTATCCACTTAAAAATTAACCTGCTGTAGATTGATTGAACTTCAAGTCCTGCATGTGGTTGCCTTGACAGGGCCAAACCAGACGGTTTTGCAGGCCTTACGGGGCCTGTGGGCCAGGTGTCTTCCCCGGGCGCCGCCCCAAGGGCCCAACGACTTCTTTCCTGGCCTGTATCCGTGCTGGTGCTCAGCTGGGTGACTGTCCCCAACCGGACTGCAAGTTCACCCATTCCCTTCCCCGTCATCTCTGCTCTACTCTGGAGCCCATCCAAGTTTTAAATTTGTCTTCCTATTTTTAGTTTTATAGCTTCCCTTTGATCTTTTTATATATTTAGCATGCTTTCTAACATTTCCTTCAAGAGAATTGTAATTCTGATTGGAGCACTTGTATGGTGGTTGCTCTAGACTCCTCATCAGAACTGTCCAGGACCGAGTCGTGTCAGGGACCCCAAGGCGCCTGATGACCCCAAGCAGAGGGAGGGGGTGAGACAGCCCACGTCGCCGCCTCTCCCCACCCTGCAGACTCACAGCCTGCCGTCCACTGACCAGACCCTCTGGACAGCCAGTGGACACTGGGCCTGGGGTAACTCTGATTAAAAATGCAGCAGTAGAAATGGGGACGAAGAGTCTGAATGAAACAGCAAATGACCACCAAACTGCTTTTTTTTTTTTTTTCCATAAAATTCGTAGAGGACAGAGGAGACACTGAGCTTGGCCCTGGCTTTCCGACTCCGGCCCACTGTCCCGTAAGCACTTTGTGACTGCCGCCTCACTCACTACTGATAAACAAAAAGACCAGCGGGCTTGAGCCACGCGCACTCGTCGTCTCCTGGTTTTGGAGGGGTGGATCTGAGCAGGGCCACGCTGGGCCTGGCCTAGCATCAGTCGAGGTGCCGGCTCCCTTCTCACCACGGGTTTGGCGGGGAAAGGCTGCCGCCTGGGCTTCCTTGGGCTGCCTGCACAATTCCATTTCTTGCACCTGCGGAACTCATGGAGGTTGCTGCTTCAACAGCGGGAGAGGAAAATCTCTCTACCAGAAGGGCCCAGGCCTTATTTAGTGACTTAACCTGATGGTCAGGGCCACGCAGGATGATGTCCCACTTGATTAACTACAGTTCAACCTATCTGGGACCTTACTCACATTCAGAAATGCTTTAATCCGTGTCATGTGACAACCTATGTCGTGAGTGATTTCTACCGTAGTCGGGTTTTGCCCACGCCCCAGGGGAAGGAGGTGGTAGGATGGGGCCTGTGCCTGAAGATCATCTAAGAATTCTGCCCATCACGGTACTTTGAGTATAACCTCCATGTTTTCCCACGTACATACGGAATCCTTCAGAATTCTTCCACTGAATTTTGTCCTCTCCCTATCAGCTGGTACTATTGGTTTTTGTATTTTTTTTTTCTCAAAGGCAACTCCTGTCCTACAGGCTGAGAGCCCACAGTCGGGAGCCCAGCACCTGACAAGCATCCTTCTAGTTTTATCCCAGTCCTTTCAGATGAAGTTGCTGGCGTCCAGGACCCAGCTCTTGAGTGAACCGCAGGGCTGTCCGCACCTGGGAGGAGGCGCGCAGGTAAGCGATGTTTCTAGGGATCTGATGAGTGCGTAAGCCAAACGCGGGCAGGACTGGTCAGCAGGAGCGCCCGGGAAAGCGCCTCCCTGGCGTTCCGACACGGAGCTTTGCTTTCCTGGGGAAGAGTTGTCTGTGCGTCGTGAATCTGTGGTTGCAGGGTCTCTGGAGGAGGGGCTGCACCGTTGAACAGCTCTGCTGTCCGCCAGCCGCGGGTGATGCTTCCCGTCTTCACAGGACTCGGGTGGGAAACGGCTCGTCCTCGGAACGCTCCACACGCAGACCTAGAGGAAGGGCCTCGGCTGCCTGCTGGGGGAGACCACGCGCTACACTGCCGTTGCAGGAGGTCGGTCACTGGTCCTGGCTCTGCAGGTCCCAGCTGGATGAGGTGAGCGACGTCTGTACTCTCTTCTGTCTTCTTCGTCCTAAGTGAGCGGGTGAACCCCAGGTCTGAAGCGCTAACATTCAGTGTCTCTTAAAACGATCACAGAAACGCTGTGTAGGCCACTTGCTCAGAATCCCTGGTTTTTATGTTTTTTAAAAACAGGGATTTAAGTGCTTTGAATGTCCTCCATGACTGGGATCATAATGTGAATGGGGCTTCCTGGTTTTTTCCCATGAAGTGAAGTCTCCTCCATGTGGCTTTGAACCTGTCCTCTTCCTGGCCTGCCTCACTCTAGGACTCTCAGGCAGGTGTGCTTGTCCTGGGATCCAAAGCAGGGATTTCCCTGCCTTTTCAGTAGTCTCTGTAGTAAAACAATGATCAAAGATGGCAACAGCACATTTTACTGAGTGTCCACCTGGAAGCGTCTGTCTGTGCACCGATGAGGGTATCCTGGGTTTGAAGGTTGGCAGAACCGCAAGCAAGCGGAGAGCACTCGAGGGACTGCTGGGGCCAGCCCCAACGCTGGCCTCTCCGGCCTGAACAAGAGTGAGAACTGCTCAATCCAGAACTAGTTATTCATAGAGAAAGCCAGAAATGCTCTTTGGAGACAACACAGTGCAGATGGGCAATTGCTTTCGGAGGGCTTTTGCTCCAGTGTTTGCAATAAAACGGGTTGTCCTTCCTTAATTCTGCTTTGAGAGAAATATTACCTAAATCACAAGCCACGAGAGGGGTCAAAAAATTGTACTTTTTCAGTTTCTTGTATTTGTGTGTCATGGTGGGCCAAACACCAGAAAAAATTTTCCAAGATTGCCTTCACATATACATAGACACACACCAAAGTCTTCCGAAGTCCACTTGTGTCATCACCATGGTATTGTCTGTGCTCGGCTCCCGGTCACTTCTTTATGACCCAGCCCTAGAGGATTCAACACTGGAAATGCAAAATCAAGGCAGCAGTCATGCTGCAAAAAACAACAGCTCCGTGCCCAGTGTGGGTGGTCCTGGAAGGGATTGGCCTTAGCCCTGCGAGAGGACCCAAGGCCTTCTGCGGTCTGTACCTCTGTGGATCCTCCACTGGGACTTGTTCTGGAGACCTGTGCTTGGCCGCTAGAACCCACGGCAGCCCCTGTGCAGACCTGCAGACCATACAAGTGGCTGGGGTTTGCATTCCTGTGAGCAACGTGCAGCCAGTGCATGGCTGGCCAAGGATCAGGAAACCCGGCTCTCCTGGCACTGGACAGACTGAACTGTCACTCAGCTCCTCAGTCTGTCTGCAGGACTGGCTCAGCCCCTCCCCAGGACTGGGCTGGAATCCCCCTTCCTTGGCTTCCTCCCTCCTTTGCTCCTCTTCCTCTCACACGTGCTTCCTGGGAGCAGCTCCCGAGCAACCCACTGGTCTAGAAATCCGTGTCTTACTGTTTGATCTGGAGAATTGGCCCAAACCACTTAAACAGGTCTTAACTTGCTAATAGAATTGTCTTAAATTTTTACTTATTTGAAAGGGGAAGGGGGGAGAGGGAAAGGGGGGAGGGAGGGAGAGAGAGAGACCCCATCATTGGTTCACTCTCTGAATGCGCTCAGGGGCCAGAACTGCACTATGGTCAGCTAGGATCTGGGAACACAGTCCAGGTCTCCCCCAGGTGTGGCAGAAAACCAATTCCTAGAGCCCTCGCCACTGCCTCCCAGGTTCCGCCTTAGGATGCTGGAGTCAGGAGTGGAGCCAGGACCGGAACCCAGGGACTTTACCTCCGAATTCCAAGCATTGAATCTTTAGTCTGTGTTAAATTCCCGTTGTTGTTGTGACAAATCACCATCAACAGAGTGACCTAAAGCTGTACAGATCTACCGGCTTTGGTTCTGGGGGTCGGGATTCTCAGTGGCCCCTCGGAGCTGCTCCTTCTGCGGAGGGTGGGTCCCTGTGCTCTTCCTCCGTCCATTCCTTGGTGGGGGAGCCCCTCCCCCTGCCTCCAAGTGCAGCCCCACCTCTGCGTCCATCATCACATCTCTCTGTCTTCCTCTTTCCCTGCCAAGGCCCTGTGATCCCATCAGACCCCTGGATAATCCAGGCTAATCCGCTCATCCCCAAATCCCTCATTAGACCGTGTCTGCAAGCCCCTTCTGTCACGTTCCCAGGGTCTGGGGTCAGCATGCTGAGTCCAGGGGAGGGAGGCTTATTCCCCTCACTACAGCATCTGTCCTCCTGGGAGAGATCAGTGGGTGAGGGGTGGGTGTGCATGCTTTGTCCAACACTGGTGTTAGATAATGGCATTTACTGAGCACATTACTGGATCAGTCATCTATCATCCAGCTCATGTCCTTAATGCTCCCCAATAGCCAGAGCTCAGCCAGGAGCCCCAGACTCCGTGTGTGTCTCCCACATGGGTGGCAGAGGCCTAAGTACTTGAGCCATCGTCTGCCGCCTCCCCGGGCCACCAGCAGGACACTCGCTCCACAGCAGAGCAGCCAGGACTCAAACCCACACGTTGATACTGGGTGCTGGCGTCCCAAGTGGTAGCTTAACCTGCTTAACCTACAACGCCCACCCTGGTGTATGTCTTTTCCTTTAACATCTGAAACGTAATCTAGATGGTTAAACTTGCTTGCGTTTTGTTCTCTTGTTTAAATCATATGTAATGACGGTGCATTGTGTTATCTACACATGGAGTCAGTAGCTTCATGGTGCTCTTGACGATTTCTGTTTAACAGGATTTTCGCATGTTCCACACTGCCTGCAAAGCTGCAGAATTTTATAGCTAGACCGCCATGTAGCTAATCCCTTGTTATGAGACATTACTATCCAAGTTTGCTATATCAGGAAGGTTGTGATATTAAATACATAAGGATATGCATGTATACATACTCATACAAACACACACACACTCACACACTCACACATCTGTAATTCTCTGTTCTTTCTTTGAAAGTTCCCCAAAGAAATTTGGCAAAAGTCTTGTGGGAGTAGCTGTTCCTTCCCCCTTCCACTTTCCATTTTAGGGGGTTCAGATCAGCCTCACCCCCAATCTAGTACAGCCCCAGAACTCAACAGATACCCTTTAGGGGCAATAGATGTTGAGCCCCTCAATTTTCCTCTGTTCCCCTCCCCAGCAAGGAATCCTCCTGTCAGGTACAACCCTCACCCTCTGTTCCCCTCACCAGCAAGGACTCCCAGGCGTCAGGTACAGCCCTCACCTTCTGTTCTACTCCCCAGCAAAGACTCCCTCCTATCAGGTACACCCTCACCCTCTGTTCCCCTCCCCAGCAAGGACTCCCACCTGTCAGGTGCAGCCCTCACCCTCTGTTCCCCTCCCCAGCAAGGACTCCCTCCTGTCAGGTGCAGCCCTCACCCTCTGTTCCCCTCCCCAGCAAGGACTCCCACCTGTCAGGTATAGCCCTCACCCTCTGTTCCCCTCCCCAGCAAGGACTCCCTCCTGTCAGGTACAGCCCTCACCCTCTGTTCCCCTCCCCAACAAGGACTCCCTGCTGTCAGGTACAGCCCTCACCTGTCAGAATCAGCGCCGTCTCCAGCTCCTCTCAGACGCCTTCTGTCTGGATGCTGCTGCAGCTCTCCCTTGCTCCTCACTCTCCCAGAAGGCACTGGTGTCTATCGTCCTCCAGACTAAGGGCGCCGTGAATGCAGAAAGCCCCGTCTTGCTCTTGAATGGTGGCGGGGGAGGTCACTCTGGTACAGGTGACATCAGAGAGGCTGTGACTTCACCCTTCTGAGCACCGCATGCTGGGTGAGCCGGTCTGTGGGGAATTCCTGCGTCCATGCAAGCAGACTTGAATTGAGGAGGCAGCATCCGTGGTTCGGGATAACTGGGTTTTTTTCTCAGTTCAGCACTTGCACGTGAGGGTCCTGGCACCGCAGCAGGAGCCTGGGAAGCCTCCTGACAGAGTTTCTGAGCCAGTGAAGTGAGGGCAGGGTAAACACCAGGATCCTGTCCCAGAGCCTCGGACACGCCTGTCAACACAAGGGCTACTTTCAAATCCTGGCTGAATCTCTGTGTCAATAACACAGCACAGTGACTGTTGGCTGTTCTGCAGCTCGGAGGATGCGATCGCACGTGGCTGTCTGTTCACAGGGACGTGAGCGCTGGCGACTCTGGCAGGCTCTGTGAGGCGGGCTTGGGCTCGGAGTCGGGATGTCAGGCAGTCCTCTGCCGTCTGTGTGGGCCCCGGGAAGCCACTCAAGGAATCCAGGCATCAGATTCCTTTCTTTGCCTGGGTATTGGGAGTAGCAGGCGCCACCTTTGCCTCGCGGGGCCATCCTGAAGTTCAGGTGAACGCTTCTTTGAAAGGGGAGCTGGCTCCAAGGAAGCGGACATCAGTTCAGAGCAGCCACTTACTGGACAACCCCTGGCGGCCGTGGCTATTAGCTGACCTTCGTGGAGGGGTCCACCCAGCTCGTGTCCCTTCTTGACCTCGGTTATCGTGACAAGTGACGAACGCTGCGGTGGACAGCCACAGTAACTACCACGGTGATTCTGTAACTCGCCTCTGCTCCATGCCTCATTGCAGCCCTCATCCCCTCCTTGGGCAGGTGCCCGGCTTCTTGGCCTCACAAGTCCAAGTGGACGGAAAAGCACAAAGTAGGGAAGTGACTCTGACCTTTTGTAGGGAGGTGACTCTGACCTTTTGTTTAAGAGTCAGTGCGGGAGGTGAGATCGACTGCAGAGGAAGGGAGCAGCGAGGCACTGATGCTGACTCCGTCCCGCGGGCCCACGTCGGACGCAACAGGAAGCAGCAGGCCGTCTGCAGACCAGGACGTCACGTAGACGTAGGATTGGGTTTGTACACCAAGCACAGTGTCCCTTCTTGGTTTCTACTTTTCGGTGTCTTGGGTTCTGGGTGCCCCCTTTTGAAGACACTATTTCTTTTTCCCTAATCTGTGTCTAAAAGAGGTCCCAGTGATCCTTTCCTCCTGAAAACCCAACACCAATGTGCTCACTTCTAACACTTTTTTTTAGAAGCAGAGCGAGAGCGAGAGAAAGCGCTCGTCCTTGGTTTCACTCCCCAGATGCCCGAAACAGCCAGGGCCGTGCCGGGCTGAAGCCAGGGGCCAGGAACTCGCTCCGGGTCCGACGCGAGCGGTGGGAACCCAGCTGCTGGAGCCATCAGCACGTCCCGCATTAGCAGCATCCGGAGTCAGAGCTGGCAACCAAGTTCAGGTTCTCTGCCGTGGACGTGGACGTCTTAGCCGCTAGGCTAAATATTCACTCCTCTTAGACATTTTTAATGCTTGTCAGGGTTGTATTTTACAAATAGCCAGCTGTACACTTGCCACCATGTCTGTTAGATTCGAATTGGTGTTAAGTGGCTTAGAAGTCTTCTTATGGTCCGTTTTGAAGAGAAGACATTTTTGATTTTATTTTGTCTGCTTTTTAAAAGATTTATTTATTTATTTGAAAGTCAGAGTTATAGAGAGAAGGAGAGACAGATCCTCCACCCACTGGTTCACTCTCAATTTGGCTGCAATGGGCAGGGCTGGACCAGGCCGAAGCCGGGAGCTTCCTCCAGGTCTCCCACATGGGTAGCAGGGCCCAAGCACTTGGGCCACCTTCCACTGCTTCTCTCAGGCCATTAGCAGGGAGCTGGATGGGAAGTGGAGCAGCCAGGACACGAGCCGATGCCCATATAGGATGCTGGCACTACAGGCGGTGACTTAACCTGCTATGCAGCTATGCTGGCCCTGAATTCACATGTTTTAACAAAGTAAAATAAGTAATGATAGCAGACTAATAACAAGTCATATATTTAGACGTGAAAATGCATTTAAGAAAACCCTGTGGGTTAAAGAGTCACGTTACACAGAATTGATAACGTCACACTGTACGGCGCCGCAAACACTACACTGGGACTTGAACGGTGCAGCTGGAAGAGAAAACGCCACCCTCAATGCTGCATACGATAGAAAATGAGGGCGCTTTTCTTTACAATAAATGTGACTTTATCCTATATGCTCTCACTAAATGCTCTCCATGAATGGGTATACCCGGATTTTGCATTTTTTGCACCAAAATAAACCCAATCATCCACTTGTCCTGCACTGTCTGAAGCAGCATTGAACTGACTCATTTAATCCTGGAAGCAGCCCCCGTCACGTGGGCACGCTACTCTCCCCGGGTTTCCTGGTGAGACCTGGACTCTCCCAGCTTCCGCTCAGCGGCTCTGGCACAGGCAGACTCCGCGCGTGGCCGAGGCGTCCGCTGCTCTGCTCTGCGCAGGAGTTTAGTTCTGACCGCGAATGCGCTGGGTCCACAGCGACTGAGAGCAGCGTCACCTTCGCAGCAGTGGGTCCTCGCCTCCTCGGGGGACGCCCTCCCTCCAGCTGTTCATGCCCTTTCAAACCCCGCCCAGGACTTCCTCTGTGGCTTTCGCACGGAGGACTGGGAGTTACTCTTACACACGGATGCCCCATCTTTGTGAATGCTGTTGTCACTAAGTTCACTGCGTTTCCATAGTTAGAGAAATGCCCGCTTTTTATGTGCACACTTGCCAGGAACTCTTAGCAGCTGTGATAACCTTTCTGCAGCTCATTTGCACCTCCTGACTTTACAATTCTACATCTGCAGATGCGCTTCCTCCTTCTCTATTTTCACGCCTCCCTTTTGTGGCTCCCTTTTTGTGCCTGTTAGACGGGACGATGGCGGCTTCCTTGTCCTGCTGCAGAGGGAAAGCTTTCAATGTGTCGCTGTCAAGCTCTAAGAAAGGCAAGACACGCTGGCTTTACAGCATCGCCTGTTCAGGGGGCACCAGTGGGAATGCTCTGCTTTGCCTCAGCCCGTCCTAGCCGTGGCTGCTTAAAAGCCATGATCACCAAGTGACCGTGAGATGGCAAACGCTACTGACTGCGGAACGGGCGTGCGAGTGAACAGACTTGCTCCAACCTCCGGGGAGTGTTCCTCTGCTGGATTCTCTGGCTTTGTGCCTTGCCCCGCCCCCACCACATGCCCGGCCAGGACAGGTTCTCGTTTCCCATCCTCCAGCCACTTCTTCGCCCGTCCCCACCACTGCATGCTTCCTTCTCTCTCTCTCTCTCTCTCTCTCTCTGTGCGTGTGTGTGTGTGTGTCTCTGTCTCTCTCTCTCTGTGCATGTGTGTGTGTCTCTCTCTGTCTCTCTCTCTCTTTGTCTCTCTCTCTCTCTCTGTGTTTCTTCCATTTCCTTTTCTATTTTATTTTGTTTTAAACTTCAGAAGGGATTCTTATTTCTAGTTAGCTAACAATTTTCATGATGAATATAAACTGAATTGCATCAAATGTTTTCTCCCTAAACAACTTGGTCTCTATGTGTTTTCTTTCTTTGATGGAATTTGGCTTCAGTTTGATGAACATTCCACTTGGAACAGGTACATTTTAAGTATGAACTGGATGAGGGTTTTTTTAAAATTTATTTGAAAGGCAGAGTTACAGAGATGAAGAAACAGAGAGGTAGAGAGAGGTCTTCCATCTGCTGGTTCACTCCCCATGTGGCCACAACAGCTGGGGCTGGACCGAGTTAAAGCCAGGAGCCTGGACCTTCGTCCAGGTCTCCCACATGGGTACAGGGGCCCAAGTACCTGGGCCATCTTCTGCTTTCCTAGGCACGTTACCCGGAAGTTGGACAGGAACTAGAGCAGCCAGTACACAAACCAATGCGATGTTGGCCTCACAGGTGATGGCTTGATCCACTGAGCCGCAGCGCCAGTGCCACAGGATGAATTTCACTTTTGTTAGAGAACAGGTGTTCTTTTCCACTTTCCAGGACAGTTGAGATGAAAGAATATTTTTTCCTCGCGTATCTGTCATGATTTGCCTGTGATACCAGTTGGTCGTGGAGTTTCTTTGTGGGAAGGTTTCTGATGACTAAATTCTATTTCTTCAATGCATAGATGGTTTCCCGAGTCACCTTTTCTTCTAGAAATCAGGCTGGTGCTGATGTTTGTCCATTAGAGCTAAAACTGCCAGTTGCTGGTGCCTGGTTATGTTGATGTCTCCTCACAGCCGTCACAGCCTGCAGGACTGTCCCCAGGGCACTTCAGCGTGAAGAGTCTGAGTGATGAAGACGGGCAGCAGAGAGACGGGAGCAGCCGCTGATGGAAGCAGAGAAGAGCGCCAGCACGGGCAGCCTGGCGGTGAATCTGCAAGAAGGAGGAAGGCCGGGCACCTCACCTGCAGCCACGGGCACCTCACCTGGCCGGGAACCTCACCTGGCCGGGCACCTCACCTGGCCGGGCACCTCACCTGCTGCCACGGGCACCTCACCTGGCCGGGAACCTCACCTGGCCGGGCACCTCACCTGGTGGGGCACCTCACCTGCAGCCATGGGTGCCTCACCTGCTGCCACGGGCACCTCATCTGCAGCCATGGGCACCTCACCTGGCCGTGGAACCTCACCTGGCCGGGCACCTCACCTGCAGCCACGGGCACCTCACCTGGCCGGGAACCTCACCTGGCCGGGCACCTCACCTGCAGCCACGGGCACCTCACCTGGTGGGGCACCTCACCTGCAGCCATGGGTGCCTCACCTGCAGCCACGGGCACCTCACCTGCAGCCACGGGCACCTCACCTGGCCGGGAACCTCACCTGGCCGGGCACCTCACCTGCAGCCACATGCACCTCACCTGGCCGGGCACCTCACCTGGCCGGGCACCTCACCTGGCCAGGCACCAGGGGTTGACTCTGGAGCTGGTGACAGCCATCAAGCAGGTGAAATTCTGACATTGGTTAGCAACGGCATGGACAGAACTGGAAGAAATACTGGTGACAGAAACAAGCCACGCAGAGGGAGACAGGTACTGCATGATCTGTGGAATCCAAGCAAGTTGACCTCCCAGGGCTGAGGGTAGAGCAGCGGTTTCCAGAGTCTGGGTAGAGCAGGGCGGCCCCTGGGGGAGATGGGTCAGCAGACGTAAGCCGCAGCTGAACAGGGGCATGGACCCTGTCTCCCGTTGCACAGCAGCGTGAATGTGGGTGACCGTGCATGGTGGGTTCCGAGAAACCTAGCCGGGAGCACGGCGCATGTTCTCAGCACAAAGAAGAGGTCAGTTCTTGAGGTGACGGAGACGCTAATCCCCTGATTTGGTTTGGTCTTTACCCTTGCACACGTGTATAGAAATATTATTATTTGTTTATCAAAAGTAAATGCTAGGGGTGGGCCTTTTTTTCTAAGATTTTATTTATTTATTTGAGAGGTAGAGTTACAGTGAAAGGGAGAGACAGAGAGAGAGGTCTTCCATCCCTGGGTTCACTCCCCAAATGGCCGCAACAGCCAGAGCTATGCTGATCTGAAGCCAGAAGCCAGGAGCTTCTTCTGGGTCTCCCACGTGGGTGCAGGGGCCCAAGGACTTGGGCCATCTTCTACTGCTTTCCCAGGCCACAGCAGAGAGCTGGATTGGAAGAGGAGCAGCCAGGACTAGAACCGGCACCCATATGGGATGCCAGTGTTGCAGGCAAGGATTAACCTACTGCGCCATGGCACCTGCCCGAGGGATGAGCCTTTGACCTAGCGGTTAGGCCGCCAGTGGAGACATCCGTCTCCCATACCCAAGTGCTTGGGTTGGAGTCCCGGTTCTCTCCATTTCAACCTCCCGATGACGGACACCGTGACCGGAGGCAGTGATGGCGCAAGTAATTGTGTCTCTGCCATTCGCCTGGCAGACCTGGGTTGAGCTCCCAGCTCCTGACTGTGGCCTGGCTTGGCCCTGGCTGTTTGCAGGCATTTGGGGAGTGAATCGGCGGATGAGACTTCTCTCTCTAAATAAATAAATAAAAATTTAAAAATAAATTTCAAAATTAAATGAAAGAACAGAAAACTCAACAACTTTCCACACACAGAGAAACAGCAGTGAGTCAGTAGTTGAAGTGTGAAGATGAGCAGTTTTAAATCCTGTACTCTAAGAACCACACACAGACAGAACTGTATTGATCCTGATGTGAACAATCAATCCAGGAGAATTGGGAATCATCAATATTAACAGGAATGCAGGGGGATTCTCCACAGGATGTCCTCGAATGGTGTGAAGAAGAGAAATAGTGTTTAGGTTTGGGCCTGGGTGAAGTTGCTGGTAGTCACTTGTGCGTCCCGCTCACTCGTAGCGAAGGGAAGGAAGGCTGTGGGGACAGAGCCTGTGACGGGGCAGCGGTGGGGATTTTCCTTTGATTGGTTCTGACTTGTCAGCGGGTGAAATCAAGGGCACCGCCTGGGAACGAGCGTGGGGCCTGGGTGGGTGGAGGATTTGCAGCGTGGCCTAAAGTCATGGAGGAGGTGTCGCAGGGCTGGGCGGATGGGAGGACCAGGGGACCAGGGAGAGGCTGTGTGCATGCCAGGCCCAGGTGGCTGGAAGCAGCTGTTAGATATCCGTGTTCTTGAAATCAAAATGAAAACCGCCTGGCTGGGTGTTTTTCTAGGTGTGGAGTGGGTGGAGGTGAGATTTAGTCATGTAAGGATGAGCAACCCGGAGTTTGCTCGATTGCAATAATTACCCAGAAAGACCGCTCGTGCTTCCTGACTCTAACGCTTGTGTCTCTGATTTCCTATTTCCCACTGAGAGTGGCCTGCATTTCACTCTCACTTCTTGTCCTAATGCACGGACCATCCTTCCGTCTTTAACCATTGTGCATCACTTGGCTTTAGTTTTTTTCTTGCAAACAGCACAGGTGGCAATGCACTCTCTTAGATTCTCACGCTATTCTGGGTGTTCCCTCTGTTTTCATGGCTTGTTTTATACCGTCTTGCTCAAGATTTCATGACTGCCGTTGGTTTGAAAATTGTGATTGCAGTATTTATCCCGTGATAGCTTCAAAGCGTGCTTGATACTTTGTATCTTGAACAGTGTTACACACATCTGTATGTCACAAAGTGATGTGAGAATTTAGTGTGTTTCCTCTTCTTCCTATCTCCCCCTTCCCTAGAGGTATGCTGTTATTTGAACTTTTGTTGATAAGATCTCTACACCAGTTGTCTACTACTTTTTATGTTCTACGTGAATGAAATTATTTTAATTGACTTTACAGTTTATTGCTTATTACCTTAGAAGTAACAAGTAACATGCTTTGCCCATCCTTGATCTGTGTGGCGGTCACTCAGAGTGGAGTGACCACTCTGAAGCTGGCATGTGCACATAAATCACCTGGGAGCTTGTGGAGAAGCAGGTGCAGATCCACAGGGCCAGGCGGGCCCACAAGTGCACACTCCCAGGAGTGCCCGGGGGTGCAGGCGGGCAGGTGTGTTCACCGCTTTTCATAGCAAGGACATGGGGTGGTTCCTTGAGACGGTTCCTCACAAGGGAGTGCACAGCTTCCAAGTCGTTGCGCACCTGAGAATAACCCGCTGAGTCCATGAAGAGCGGCACTCGCCCGGCCTCTGGTCGCTGTCCCCACACTCACCTGGCCTCTGGTCACTCTCCCCACACTCGCCTGGCCTCTGGTCGCTGTCCCCACACTCGCCTGGCCTCTGGTCACTGTCCCCACACTCGCCTGGCCTCTGGTCACTGTCCCCACACTCAGCTGACCTCTGGTCACTCTCCCCACACTCACCTGGCCTCTGGTCACTCTCCCCACACTTGCCGTCATTCTCATGCAATTTGGCTGCTGTTTTCCAGAAAAACTTCTTTTTCAAGAGTGTAAAAATGGTTCACATGAGTAAGACCACTTAATAGAGTGTCTCAAAAGTCCATTCTTACTTTACCCAACAAACGTGGACGAAGAGGTACCACACGCCTAGGATTCTTCCAGCCATACGTCCTGTAGCGGTCGTCCTAACTTCCAAGAGCCTTGTTTCCATGAAAGAGAAAATACCCTAGAGTCGAGTAGTTATTGCAGGGTGGACATGTTTACATGCACTTGGAAGTCATTTAGGAGGTCAAATTTGCAAGAATTATGAGTATTGGCATCCTTCTAAAAATTTTACCTGTTTATTTGAGAGGGAGGGTGAGAGAGGGAAGGAGAGAGAGGAAGTGAGAGGGAGAGTTCACTGCTCAGACGTCCACACTTGCGTGGTTTGAGAGGGGGTCTAAGGCTAGGAGTGGGGAACTTCACCCAGCTCTCCCTCGTGGGTGGCAGGGCCCAGTCACTGAGCCCGCACTGCTGCCTCCCGGGGCTGCTCAGCAGGAAGCTGGAGCCAGGAGCTGGAGCCTGAATCCAGGTTGTCTGCCGGTGTGTGATGTGGGACTTTCAACCGCTAGGCTGAACATCGACTCCCCGTATCTGCTTTTAAATCCAATTTAGCTTGCTTGCTTATTGGAAATTACTGTAGATTTTATTAGCTTCTATGATCACTCCAGTTCATGCTGAAAATAATTGTTATGTTTAATGAAATGGTTTCAGTTCACTTGAAAAAAAAAACATGATTTTTATTGAACCAAACTCTAATATTTAAGTGGCAAATTATTTTTTCATATTGTTTTGTGTTTGGGAAGTAATATTGAACATATAATTGTGTTGCAGTCTCTGGCTGACTTTGAGTCGTGTGAACTTGCTGCATTCGAATTTTGAGGCAACTTTGGTGTTTGGGATACAAAGTAGCAATGTTCAGTCTTACTCCATTGCACTGTTTCAATATATCGGTAGAAAGCAGTCACCACACTTTAATTATTCTTTCTTTCTTTCTTTAGCGCATCCATAGGGTTTGGATGAATCTTTCCCTGTGACCAGTGGCGTGTGCCCCGCCTGTGTGATTAATTCAGTCATCAACCGTGCAAGCATATGGCGATCACAGAAACATGATACTCTGTTGATTTATGAAGGAACAGGGATCTGGTGAAGGGACAGACATATTTGTTGTATGATAGGTTCTTAGAGAATTATTCATCCAATTTTAAAATATACAGATTTTCTGCAGCTTTTCAGCATTTTACACTTAAAATGCAGGAATTTAAAGTGTTTGTGGAATTTCCTATTTTCATGTTTTTCTGGAGGTCCAAAGACTCACTCCTGCTCGGCCACACTGGGAGATGCTGGTGGGCAGGCTTTGCCTGCACCTGTTCGATTTCCCCTTCTGTGGCACAACTTTATGACCAAAATAAACACTAGCTTACGAAGTGTGGCCCACGCTGTTGAGCTGAGTCTCAGGGACACACAGGCGAGGGTGTAGGAGGCACAGAGGGCTGGGCTGCCGCCAGGCCGCCTGCTGCTTGTGATTCCTGGCTTACGGCACAACCCCGTGATTCCACATTTCTCTCACGGACGTAAGGCACTTGGCTGGGGCTGGAACGGAGGCGGTGGTGGCTGAACCATTCTGCAGCTTAGGGAGAATGGGCGTTGGTGGGTTCAGAGCAGATCGGTGGGTAGAGGGGGAGAAAACCTCCCTAAACAGGTGACTGGCTCCAAGGTGTACAGGTGGCCGTAATGAGTCGTCAAGCAACGTGAGGGGCCTTGCTTTGGGAGGCCGCATTTCTGAAGAGGCCTAGACAGGAGGAAGGGATCGTATGGCTACTTCGTACCACCTCCCGGGCATTCACAGTCTCCTCTTGGTGATCCTGTTGAGTCAGCCCGAGGATGAACCCTCCTGTCACCATCAGGAAGCCTGGGGGAGGTAGGAACCAGTATCGAAGTTTAGGGAAGCTCAGGGAGGCTAATGCACCCAGGTGGAGCCCTCGGGCGTGGCTGAGTGAGGCTTTGAGGGCAGGACACCAGGGTCAGAAGTCACACACTCCTGCTCGTGTGTCCCACGTGGTCGGGGGCTGGGGAGCGGCCGTTCGCTTGCACATTTCTCTTTTACCTGCTCTCTATTTCTATTCCAATGCTCTGCCTCCCCGAGACTTCTCTGATTAAGGATCTTAAATCACAAGATCAGGATGTGTCAAAGCAGCCGCAGATTGATTTCTTGCTACCAGAGCAGGGAAACGCATTTTCTATTTCCCAGATAGATCTCGCCGTGGAGCTGTGCAGGTGATAAATTGCCGGCACATCCCGACCGCCGGTGATGACTCGGTGCTGCACAGACTGCAGGTGTGCTGTAGATGTTCTTCCAAAAATGCAAATGGAAGGCATATTTACTTTAACCTTCCTCTGCCTGCGTCACCCAATGTCATTGCAGCCCTCGGACGGGAAGCCACAGGAACCGCAGGGAGGGCCGGCAGGGCGTGGGGTTTTATAAACTTCGCTCAGCGTGCACTCCACACAGAGAACTCACGGAAGGTGCCTGTTGGGAGCAGTAGCTGCACAAAGCCAGCAAGGACAAAATAAAGTGGGCGCTTCCACCACAGGGCCGGCTGCCCACTAGACAGAGTGAAGCCCACATCTGTGGCTGGGAGACACTGTACAGGACGCACCAGTGGACACCGGGGCCGTGGGGGCAGTGGGTGCTTCCCTGTGTTCGTGTTTCTGTGCGGGTTCTCAGTCCTCTTGGGGCACTCTGCTGGGCGTTTGCCCCGGGACAGCTCTCAGAAGGAAGGTTCCTCCCCCAGCCCCTCGCTTCTTCCTCCGCACTGCACAGGGGTGACACGCGTGGGGGAGGCTGGGGTACAAGGCCCTTCCTGGAGGTGGCCTCCTCCCTGCTTACTCCAACCTGCCTGGTGCAAACAAGGTGGTTTAGAAAAGACTTCTCTGGTTTTACCGGGACTGCTGGATGAAAACCTCAGCATCCATGCCCCCAAGGAAGCCGGCTGCCCGGTGTCTGCTGTGGGCACTCTTAACCCCCAGTCCACCTCCAGCTTTGGGAGGGAGGAGGAAGCATCTATTTGTCCTCATCCTAAGTGTCACTTTCTAGGTTGTCTTCATCAGCGACGCTGTGGCGGTTCTAACTCCTGTCTGACTACGGGCTGTGGTCCTGATTCCGAACACAAAGCACAGGAAGTGTCTCACGTGTGGTGACCCCACGTGCTGCCCGGGTTAGATGTGGAAGGGCAGCACACGGCAGAGGACAGGCCTTTCAGGAGGGCCCGTGGTCCGGAGTCCGGGTTGTGCCAGGCCACCTCGAGCTTGGAGATGATACTTAGTAAGTGAACCACTGGGGGCAGGAGCTTTGAAGTGTGTGTGTGTGTGTGTGTGTGTGTGAGAGAGAGAGAGAGAGAGAGAGAGAGAGAGAGAGAGACTCAGTCGTGAGAGGTAGCATCTCCTGGTCTCTGCTCTCTGGGACACAGGTCCTTTGGTCATGGGGCTATCTAACTGGAAACAGATGGCCTCATGGTTCTGGGCTAGGGACGAAGATAACACCAACAGCCCCCACTGATACTCTTTTCAACCTACCCTAGGTCCACAGGGCCAGGCTGGAGACAATCTGGCAGGATCCTGGAGGAGAGAACCTTTACCAGTGCCTGTGCCAGCGACTCCTCGCCTCCCGCTGTGTCACCTCCCCAGGTGCAGGGGTTAGTGCGTGAGCCCTGGGAAAGACAAGCTCTGGGCTTGAATCCCAGTGTGCCCCTAACAAGCCGTGGATGTTGGCCTCAATGTACTCACCTGGAAGCCAAGGCACGAAAACCACTGAAGCAGGCAGGGCGGTGTCCAGGTCAGGAGTGAACCAGTGCAGCCAGTGCCGGGCTCGGGACTGAGAGCAGCCGTGGAGAGCCGCCAGGCTTCGAGCAGCAGAGTCCCGGGAAGCGGCCCCCGCAGGAGCTTCCGTCCGTCCGGGAGAGCTTGGGCACAGAAAGCACGTGCAGGACAAACGTGAGGAGGGAAGCAGCGCTCGCCGTGGGAGGCAGGATCGCAGGCACCACCACTTCGAGGGCGGGGCAAGCTTTCTGCCCTTAAACAGAAAACCTTAAGCTCTGTGACCCACGGGGACCCCTTGTGGCTGCCAACCGGTGTGTCCGTCCTCCACCCGCGTATCTGTTCAGGCACCCAGCCCTCCACCTGGCCCTCTGGCCCTCCTCCCACCCCTCCTGCTCCTCCCCTCCCACCCCTCCTCCTCCTTCCCCCCCACCCCTCCATCCTCCCCTCCAGTTTCCATACCCTGTCATTCTCTGCAGTGGCCTCAGGCCAGGCTTCACCCTGAGGTTCTGGAGCCGCACACGTCTTGCAGGTGGCACACGGGACACTGGGGAGCTGAGTGGGGAAACAAGGAGGGAGCAGTAGCTCTGACAGCTCAGCTGGAGTCGGCGCAGCTGCTGACCAAAGGAAGAAGAGACGTAGGGAAAGCTTGGAGGAGGAGAGCATCCCCGCGCGCCCTCGGGACTGTCCCCCCCGGGCGCTGGGCGGTGCAGTGGGGTTGCTGTGGCCTCTGCCTCACCTGCTGTAGGAGTTAATCTGTCAGGAGACAGACTTGCTCCAGAGGCTGAAGTAGACCTAACAAGGTTCTGGACGCGAAGTCTCTATCTACTGTGGGCACTACAGATGATTCAGGCCTCGGTAGGAGATTCAGTGCCACGTATTCCACTGCGTGTTTGCTGCGTGCTTGCTGTCTGGTTGTAGCTTCCTGACTGTGGTGAGCCAGGTGTTTGCCCCTGGCGTCACCATCATGAGATGACAATTGCTGAAGCCTAAGGTATGAATTAATATTACAATATCATATCATATATCATATCATCGTATATCATGATATATTTCTAGTGGAGCTTTAATTTGTATAACATGATATGGTTATTGGCTATTTTTATCATCCACCATATCATTATCAGTTTCTTTTTGTGTTTTATGGTTTTCAAAAATACTTCAAAAAATGCAAGTATCGGTGGGTCTCAAGCTGTCTTTTTTTTAAAATTTGAAAGGCAGAGTCACAGAGATGGACAGAGAGAGAGAGAGAAGAGAGAGAAGAGAGAGAAAAAAGAAGAGGAGAGGAGAGAGAGAGAAGAAAGAAGAGGAGAGAGAGAGGAGAAGAGAGGAGAGGGGAGGGGAGGGGAGGCGAGCAGACCAGAGCAGACGAGAGGAGTGGAGAGGAGAGGAGAGGAGAGGAGAGGAGAGAGACTCTCCACCCACTGGCTCACTCTCCAGATGTCCATAATGGCTGGGCCTGGGCAGGCAGAAGCCAGGAGCCTGGAGCTCTCTCAGTGCCTTTCACGTGGGTGCAGGGGCCAGAGCACTGGGCCATCTTCTGCTGCTCTCCCAGGCACATGAGCAGGGAGCTGGGTCAGAAGTGGAGCAGCCAGGACTCAAACTGTAGTTCTGATATAAGATGCTGACATTGTTAAACGGTGACAACACACTGCACCACAATGCCAGTCCCTCAAAATGACTCTTTGAGTAGAAATCATGTCAGAGGAGAGAGTTTAGGTTTGGGGAGTTGTGTGAGGTGCCGTGGCTGTCGCGTGGCAGAGCCCATGCCAGAACCTGCACGTGTGAAAGGGTTCAGTATTATCCATGTACAGCGGGGCAGGGAAGCGAGGAGGACTGAAGAAGAGAGACACCCAGCGCCGCCACTGAAGGCCAAAGATGGACAAAGCTTTGCCGAAAGCGCCAGGAGCCGGCTCCAAGCACCCACCCGGTCTGCGTGTCCCAGGGCACTGGGCTATTGACGACTGAGCTTGTGTCCACTCTGGCTGCTGAGACGTCTGGCTGCACGTCAGTTCTGGTTGTCTTGAGGCTGTTTCCAGAGGAGAGCAGCATTCGAGAGTGGGCGCAGCAGGAAAGCAGACTGCCGTGCCCGGTGTGTGTGAGCCCCACACATCCAGGATAGAGTGCGCGAGTGGAGAGACTTCTCCTGCCATCACAGCTGGGCTCCGAGTGGGACTCAAGGTTCCCTGGACTCAGAACGCATCTCCAGCGTTGCCCCAGTCTTGGATTTGTCAGCCCTGACAATTATTGTAAGTGATTCCTATGCTACATCCATCTCTGTCCTCCCCCTCGCCTGGCCACACCCACCCACCCAGACACACACACACACACACTCACACGGATGTGTTTATGTCAAAACATTTGTGAAAAAACAGAGTGAAAAGATTCATTTATGTAGGTGAAAGGCATTTTTAAAACTCATGCGGTTTTTTCATTTCATTTGTGTGTATTTCCTACAAACTTCTTGAAACCTGTATTTATGTATAAACCATTTCCCGTTTCCCTGGAGAGCTCAGACTAATAGACGTGTGCCTTGGTCAGCTGTTGGTCACCACAACTATCTGATAAAGGGAAAAGTCCATTCAGCGCACTGTTCTGGAGATTTCAGTCCAAGACTGGGGAGCCCCGTGAGTCTGAGCAGACACAGAGGAGGGGTCCCTCAGAGAGGCAGGAGCAGCGCGGGAGGCCGCCCAGGTCAGGTGTCCACACCCAACCCTCTAGTGGGTACCCCGTTCTCAGGGCGTGCCCGAGGACTCCCGCTGTGTCCGCCTCCTGGTCATCACACCTGGGTTAAGTTGTCATCTTAGCACAGGTGATATGTAGCTTTGGGGACAAAGCTTCTAACACGTGGGCCTTTGAGTGACACTCAATCTCCAAATATCCAAGCTCATGCCCAGAGAGGGCCGGAGCGAGAGTGTGGCTGATCAGGTTGGAGCAGCTCCGAGCTCGGGACGGGAGTTCTTGGTGGCTGCCTCCTCTCCCGGCTCCAGCCTGGTCCCTATGGAACAGAGCCTTTGCTTTCGGCAGTGAGCAGAGCTGGGCACAGTGGGTTCCTAACAATACAGCACTGCCTGTCTTCTCGCTCGCAAGTCCTGAGAGGTTTCTGATGGTAAAGGACCATCTCAAATTTAATAATTTCAGATTTGCTGTCAAAGACTCTTTTCAGATGCATTGCTTGAGAAGGGGCTGGGTTTTAAAATACGCCTTCTGTTTCATCCGCTTTCTACTCATCCTTTATTTTGCTCACTTTTTATTCATGATGTGTTGGCAAAGGCCTGAATTTCAGTAATTTGGATTTTCAGACTAGTGCCGGATATCGCTTTTAACAAATTCGACACTGTACTAATGCGTGCAAGCAGGCCTGTTGGAATGACTTGTGGGAAGAACGCCCATTTATTTGTGCTTCTTTCTAGACTCCAGTATCAGACTTTGAATTGTTTCAGACCACAAAATCAGAGTATATTTCTTATCACACATTCTTTCTTCTTTCTGTTTGCATGCACAGGACTCGCGTGGAGACACACACACACACACACACATTTTATAGGAATTATAACAAAATGAACTCAGGAAGCAGCAGGAAATTCTCTGGCTGCTGAAGCCTCCTGCCGCTGCCCCTCCGTCCCCTGGAGAGAGTCACCGTCACGCACATTCTCTGAGTGACCCTCGTCCTCCCTGCTGTCCTTCCCCTCCAGCAATGGATGCCTCGCTAAGCAATTTACCGCTTGCATTCGGCGGCTTTTGGCCGTGTCTGAACGGTCATGTCGTGTGCACTATCCTGCAAGTTAATTTTTAAATTCAGCGTGTTTTGGAGGTCCTTTTCCACCTGTATCACACACACGACTTTCCCTGGGAATGAACAGCCTAACTGATTATAGTGGTGTCACCACTTCCAACGAAGCGGATGGCGAGGCGAGCTGAGGGGATTGCCTCCGGGTGCGAGCTGTGCGAGGGGGCGGCAGTGCAGCCCCCGGGCTCCTGGCACGTTCACTCCTGCGATCGCAGCCCTCCTCGTGACGGCGTCTGCCCGCGTGTGTCCTGTCTCACATCTGTGCCCATGTTTGAGGGCTGTGGCTCATACATCAGTTGTTTTTCCAGCCTTGCAGCATTCTTGTTGGTTTCAAGCCTCTGCTGTTCTTGTTGGTGGGCTGCTAGCACCAGATCTCAAACCTGGACGCTCCCCCCCGGCTGCCCAGTGCCCTGAGCTGTCAGTGGAGGGCTCGGAAGGGACCGATGTACTGCAGAGCACTGTGGCGTTCGCTCCTCCTGTCCTGGAGTAAGAAGGGAGCGTGGCCTCCGGGACGTAGCAAGCACCTGCCCCACAAGTCTCTCTGGCTGTGGTGTGGGTGGGAGAGAGAAGACCCCGCTTATCTTTGCAAAGTGGACAGGAGGGGTTGAGGGGCTCCGCTTGCCTGCAGCTGCTGGGTGAGCGGGGGCGGCGGTGCCTCCTGCATGGCAGTTGCCTGGGACGCGGTGGGCGCTGTCAGGCGGCTCCATCCTCCTGGCCCTTCTTCCAGGCCCTCCGGCAGGAAGGGAATTTTCCTGGGGACTCTGTGTGTGTGCAGGCAGTTCTGGGTTGTCGACTGCTCTATCACAGATGCATCACTCAGTGTGTGCATCATGAATGTATCCACGTTCGGCAAGCTGTCCTGTTAGGCTGTTCCATCATTGTGTAAGCGTCAGAGAACTCAACTCGCACCGACCGGGATGGTGTCGCCTACCACACGGCTGCGGGGCGGTGCCGTGGCCGCTCCTGGACTGCAGGGTGCACAGCCCACTGCTGTGCTGAGTGCTCCAGCAGCTGGGAAGGGCGTGGACAAGACACGGCAGGGACAGGACACGGAAGTTAGGCAGTGGTGCCTCTGTGCAGGGCGCCTCCCGGGAACGGGGCTTGCAGGGCCGGGTGTGGCTCTGGGCGGGTCTGAGAGTGCTGGGGGAATGTGAAGTCCCTGTGTACCAAGCCGGCTTCATGAATGCTGCGCCACGTGTCTGAAGGCACATTCTTCCTGCAGTCAACTTCCCTTTTCTTACTGTAACTTGTCAATAACGTTTGCCTCTTCCAAGTTCCTGCTTATCTTACCCATCGTGTGGCTGTGCAAGAACATTCTTTCCTTAGATCTGGATCCCTAAGACTCTTCTATTTTTAATATATTTTTTCACTGACAACTAAGCACACAAACACAGATTAGCCTGGGCCCACACAGGGTCAGGATCCTGGACAACCCCGTCTTCCACTTCCAGGCTTTGTCCCACTGGAGGGCTTCGGGGCAGTAACACCAGAGCTGTCCCCTCCGCGCACCTGCAGGGCCTGCAGAGGCTCCGCTCAGAAACGTCCGTGGTGGGTTGCTTGGTTCGTGGCCTTTTGGGTCCTGGGTTTGCTCGTGAGTGGACAGTGTGCCCTGCGCCTTCCTCTCATCGACGCAAGCTTCGCAGGGCAGGGCCCTGCTTTCGTGCCGTTTGGGCAGTTCCTGGAGCTCTGCACACGTCTGCCACGCCGCCCTCCCTGGGTTTCCGGGTGCTGATTTCCTCCCCTGCACTTGCTCGTGCCTCCTCTGTCCTCTGCAGCTACACAACCCCCGTCCACCTCCATTAGGGTCTTGTGATCCCGCCCTCATATACGCAGTCTGCCGTTGGCGGAAACGTCATCACATAGGACACACACACACACACACACCCCAATCATGCAAACGGGGAACAGAGAAACAAAAGGCACGGACAGACAAGAACTGCGGAGAGCCTCCTGTGGTTGGTCCTTGACTCCTGAGGTCCCCACGGTCCCCCCTCCTGTTCCCCGTCTTCTGTGGCCTTCTCACTGTGCGTCATACGTTTTGTCTGGGGTTTCTACTCGTAATCAGTGGGAGAGGTAGCGTGCATGTACTCAGCCAAATCGGGACTACTCAGTTTGACGTCAGTAATAAAATCAGTATGCGTTGGGTACACTGTGTCCATCCAAGCTCTCAGGAGACACAGTTCCAGTTGCACGAGACTTGGTCTGGAATCAATTTATTTCCAAAACTAACCTGTGGGTGAATTCCCCTTCTGGAGTGATG